AACGAGTAAATTTGACTCGTTTGTGGTATATAAAACTAAAAGCAACAAATGAACAAATAAGACAAATAAAAACTTGTAGATAAAAACAGTATGATGTATTTTATATTATAGAATTGTACACTTGAAACCTATCTATAATAATAAAATGGTAATATGCTAATTAGCCTGGACGTCATTTCTGATGAAGCTGGGGCCCCGGGGAAGCCAGCCCAGGTCCCGAGTGCCAGAGGGAAGCTGGTGCTGGCAGCCGGGGGAAGGAAGGCCTACTCTTGCACAAATTTTTGTGCATTGGGCCTCTAGTATATTAGCCAATGTCACTTCGATAAATTTAATTTTTTTTAATTAAAAAGATATAGTAGAATAAAATTCCTCCTGGTTGACATGAACTTTCTTATCAATATTCTTTGACATGTTTGCTCAACTTTTTATATATTTTCTCCTAATTTTACCAAAATCTAGTCCATTTGTCTTGATGAAGTTGTCTATAGAATGGATTTTAGCCCTAGCTGTTTTGGCTCAGTGGATAGAGCATTGGCCTGCAGACTGAAAGGTCCTGGGTTCAATTCCAGTCAAGGGCACATACCCCAGTCCCTACTGGGGATTGTGCAGGAGGCAGCCAGTCAATGATTTTTCTCTCATCATTGATGTTTCTATCTCTCTCCCTCTCTCTCCCTCTCTGAAATCAATAAGAACATATTTTTAAATGGATTTTAATAAATATTTACTATTTAAAAGCTACTTCCTGGTATATGTATATTGATAAGGCTTCATTTGTGCATCCATTTTAAAATTATGAACATCCTCATAAGACTACATAATGTGGCCAATGTGACTTAAGGATATGTAACACAGTCTAACAAAATTTTAAATGTCAGGTTTTGTGGTGTGTTTTTTTTCAATTATCAAATTTGCCAAGGGGAGAGAGAGGCATCTTCGCAGTTCTCATTCTTAGTCTTTTCTTTCCTTAAATCCCCGTCACTAGCATGGAATTAATTTAGAAAGGGCAAATGGTAATGAATTTCCCTCTTTTGAATGATACTTAGCAGCAAGAGCAAATAAACAACAAAAAAAAGGTATTTTAATGTTTGGCATAGCTGCTCTGAAGAATTATATCAAAGCAGCTTCCATGTTTAAGGGGACTCAAATAACTAAGGGCTTAGCTTTGCATCATAACAGGATTATTTAGAGATGTGGGGGTGGGGGTGATGAAAGGAAAGGGTCTGAGCCAGAAACTACCCTTGACCTAAAAGATGAGCATCTATGATGGGCTTAAGAATTAGCTGCCCTAAGAAAAGATTTGCCTTTATGAAGCCGATGACACACTGTCTCAATTTGTGCATGGGAGACTTTTTCTATTTACAATGGTATGTGGTAAGTGCTTTTTCCTTAGCTCCTCAAATTCTGAATGCTTTTTCATTTCAAATATTTTTAAATGTCTAAAAATATATTTTAAAAAATAAAGAGTTAAATGGCTAGGACACCTCATAAATAATTTCCTTAGTTCTGAGTTCACAGGAATTTCTAGGAGGAGAGATCTTAAAATCTCTAGAATCCTTTTGTTTCAGCAGAAGTTGCAGAGAAAACAGATTTGACTCATATGCTCTTCAACTGTCCCCTCAGCTCTAACCCATTTTCACAGAATAGCCAGAGGAGAGCTTAGCCCAGGAGGCCTATGCGCTGAATCAGATGAATTCCAAAAGACCAACCCCGAGATCGGGCGGGGGCAATAATTCTGATCCAGAGGCCACGAGGAGACTTGGTAATGTCCATACAAGACTCCATGAAAGTGAACAACAGCCTCCTCTCTGCTCATGTCTTTCATCACAGACCAGAAGGTTGTCTACCGAATAGAACGGACTTGTCTAAATATACGACATGGACACTGACGTTCTCCCTCTTCCTCTCACCCCTCCTTAGAGGCTTAGGAGGTCAGGCTTCAAGCAGCATCCATGGGCGTAAATGTCAAGAGTACAAAGAATTCAGTGGTATAACAACAATGTCAAAGAGCACCAACCATAGTTGGTTGGTTGTTTTTATACATATGGTAATATAGACTGTGAGCAATTTCAGGCAAGGTCTTGTATCTTAGTCACCTCGTTGTCCCTTGTACAGTGCCTGGCACAAAGCAAATGCTTAATAAATAGTTATTAAATAAATCCATAAGCTAATACTTTGTGTTTATTTCTTTATTTAATTCAGTCAGTATAAAACCATTACTTGAGCACCTCTTATGTACCAGATACTGTACAAAGCTGTGAATAGACAGACATGAATCCCTCCTCACACCTGATAGCTAATTGAAATTGGTGAAGTAACTTACACTCCTGATTATTAACGCTATTGTTGTAACACTGGGGAGAACAACACTACTGCTGAGCCACTATTTCCTCACAGACAGCTTAACGGTTGAATGGAGGCCAAAAACCAGGTGACACAGGCTTTATTAGAGGAAAGACCTGCCGTGCTGTCTCACAAAGGGAAAGCAGCAGCCCGTGCAGCGGTTAGAACTCTTTTTAAGGAGAATGAGGAAGGCACAAGGGCTTGGGGTACTTGGCGAGAGCTGGTTGGTTAGTCAATGTATATGTCCATACAAGGTATTCCTTCTGGGTTGGGGCCATATCATGTTTCAATAAGTCATCGCCATTCCAGGGACGGGTGGGTTTAGTAATCACATTCCAGGGAAAGGTGAGTCTATCACCTATTCTATAAAATTATCTAAATTATGAAGTTATGCCAAAACCGGTTTGGCTCAGTGGATAGAGCGTCAGCCTGCGGACTGAAGGGTCCCAGGTTCGATTCCGGTTTCGATGTTTCCTCTCATCGATGTTTCTAACTCTCTATCTCTCTCCCTTCCTCTCTGTAAAAAATCAATAAAATATATTTAAAAAAAATAAAATAAATTATGAAGTTATTGTGAAGTATGAAACATATAAAGCATTATATAAATTAAGTTTTAAGATTGTAAAATTATTGTTTTAATTTGAATACTGCCAAAAATAGATGTTCTCCAGTCTCTAAGCAATTTAATCTCCCAAATGGACACATGCACAGCATTATGTAAAACACATAAAGAATTTAGCAATTCTAGGATTGTTGTATTTTTAAACTAGGTCTCTATTGTTTAATGTAACTTCCTTGAGAATGCAACATTTGATGTTTGGTATCTTCTATACGATCTAGCACTTTTCAAAAAAAATAGTATTCAGCAAATGAATTCATACAATGGAAACAACTTAAAAATAACCAAGGATTCTAACCTGAATGACATTTAGGAGATTCAAAAACCCCATGAAATTATATGCAAAACTGCGGGTCTGAAGGCCACTTGGTATAATTCTTTGGTTTTATCTGATTCTCAATGAGTTCTACTATCCAAAATAGTTTTCTTCACTCAGTGTGCAGCAATTGAATATCAACTACTTGCCAGGCATTGTTCCATGATTCAGACTTAGAATCTAAAATATTTTTTATAAATAATGAATGTTAATTGCATCAAATTTTTACAGAATCTGCTTTCTCAAATTCACACCATTAAAATTAATGCATATTCTACTGAACATATTTACATTCTAAATCAGTTCTAAATACCATGAAGTCATTTACTATATTTGCTGGTAAAATGTACTTTAGAAATATATTCTTATTTGGCTTCATGGAAAAGGCTTCAAGATGACAGAACTGATGGGGCTTGAGTGAATAATATACATATATATGTCTATACATATACACACATGCATACATATAATTTAAGAGATCTCTAGTGAATCATAATGCTCACACTGTTTAAACCATCTTTCATTCGCCAACTATCTTACATCACAGCTGGGTTTCTATTTATTCCTAACAATAACAATAAAGCTGTTGTCCTTAAAAAAGAATGATGACACATTAAAAAAATTCATAAAATTGCTTTGTAATCAGTTTTCTCAGGGACTTTTCATTGACTGAAACAAACAGCTTTCAAATGCTCCAGATTTTTTAAATCTCGAGAAAACCTTTAAAATTTAATGACAATTTTTTCCCTTTGGAAAGTAAGCATCTCCTATCAATAGTCAATATTTATCTGAAGAGTTATTTAAATTCTCTGAATAACATTTTTACCTTTGAGAATGACTGCTATATTCTTGTCACAAACAGACAGAAAAGAGCATTTTTCCAGATATAGGCATAGCACACTGAAAGACTAGAATTCTCATCCACAGCAAATGTTCACTTTATAATGTGACAATTTATATGTAGCATAATCTAAAGTTACTGTGTCGAAAAATGGTTACCTTATATGAATTAGCTAATTCCTATATTCTATCAGAACTGAATTGCAATTAGTGATAGTGGCCAGGAGATGGCGGAGTCTCATTTTCTAAGATTTACTTCATTGGCCTTTGTATGATTCATAACACTCACTTTAAAGAGAAATGTTTTATTAACGGCACTGTTATCACAAATGACAGATACGAATGAAAAATAAAACATTCAGAAAAAAATAAGGAATTTAAATTTCTCAAAACTTTTACTTATTACTAATCATTTATATGTGAATAAAATATTTTAAAATACTTTGAATAACTTTTTTTCTCTCCAGTGTACAAGGTACAGAAGGAAAGAAAAAGTTTAAAACAATAATTATTGAGAAGTACCTCAATTTTTCAATTCTTCCTTTGGTTAGTTTTATATAATCCTGGATTGTTTTATACTTACAAATGTATTTTACAACTATCAACTCCAGTTTTCAATAAAATAAAAACAAGCACAGTTTTAAAATAGAAATTTCACAATGTATATTTTAGGGAGAAAATGTGTTAGTTTAAAATAAAAGTATTTCTTGAAATGGCTTTATTTAAGGCACATACAATGTTTAAATGTTTCTTTCACTTAATAAATGCTAAAGAAGTCTTTAAATCTCAAGTTTATTATACTGCTTTTAAAAAACAGCATCTTTAAGGCCTGGTGATCCACTCACCCACACAGTGAGCACATTAACAGATGTGGCTGTGGGTGTAGGTGTGGGTTGCATTGCCTGCCTTCTAGAAATGCCTCAGAAAGGGAGAACGGGTGTGTTACAGATTGTCCTGAGTCAGCCTGGAGCACAGTCTGCGGCCAGGTACAGAGTCTTTACTGGGATGGTGGGAAGCATCCCGAATCATCCCCGAAAAGGCATAATCCAAAGCTGGGGGAAAAGGCAACGCTGGTACCAACCCAGGAGCGAGGTAGGGAGACATGAAACCAGGTAGCCCTCTTCCTGGAGCGGAATACGCCAGCCGTAAAGGACTGATACCTAGTCTAGGACTTAAGCTGTGGAGACTTGAATCACGTCCATAGGAAGCAGAGCTGGTTTGAAGAGGAGAGAAGGCTGATTTACTCCCTAGAGTTCCAAAACCAATTCCAGCTAAACTAAAGTTTGGAGCTCTCTGGAAAGCTGCACTTCCCCATTCTCCTGAGCCCGCGAGGTCCCTGCTGTCTGGTTGGTGTTCTTTCCCGCTGAGGACCTGTTCGATAGCTTGGACCACATCCCCTTTGCAGAACTGCAGAATGCCCTCCAGCCGGCCGCGCCTGTAACTGGGGAAGATCTTGGTAAGGATATCAAGAGGATCTCTCCGTCTTGAGGACAGGGTGCGAAGTCTGGATCGGGGAGCGGTGAAGCTTTGGGCCCACTCACTTTCATTTCCTGATTCCAGATCAGAGGATGAGAGAGACCTGGGACTCCCTTCACCTCCTGATTGCTCCCCAGGGTGAGGAGACACAATGCTATCATCCTTGGTTGAGTTTTCTGAAACAGATGACCTAAGATTGTGTTTTCCAATGACACCAATAGGCTTAGGAGATGATTCCAGGGTAAGCTGATGAGGGTTGGAGACTGGTTCTTTTTGTCCATTCTGGTATGAGTCACATTTACTCTCTTTGTGTTCTGGGGAAAAGAAAAAAAGAAAAGGAATCAAATAAGGAAAAACTTCCCAGAACAACGTGCTGCCCACTCAAAATCAATACTGGATAGAATAATTCATTCCCTCATAGTTTATTAGTAATACTTATTCATGTAAGAAATTTTAATGAGTAAGAATTTTTAAAGCTCATTTGGAAATGCCAATGTTGGAATAGTGGGAAAATGCTATTTATTATGCCATTTTAAGATCACAAAATGAAATAATACATATATTCAGTAGTTATTTAGGAATCAGAAATGAGAGTCCATTGCTATCCCAAATTGTTAATGTAACACCCAATATCGCACACTGGCAATCTGAAGTTTTCGTAAATGTCACTTAAGTGTTGCTGTTATCCACGTGAGTCTTCCTCTCACAATGACATGATGCAAAAAGAACTGAGTAAAATAGTTACGTTTTAGATAAGAAATCAAAAGAAGAAGCAACCTGAGTATGAAAATGAATATTCTATTTAATCATTAATGCTACATTTCTACAATTGGTTTTTAATGCTCACATTAGCAAGTTTCAACTAAATTACCTGAATAATGTGAAAAAATAACAAAATTGTTTACTCCATTTCAAATCTAAACCAATACTAATGACTGCTGTACCAATCTCAAGTCACACCAGTCACACACTTCATTTTAGTGAAAGGTGATACAGAGTTGGTATTTTTACAATCCTCTGCGAAATACAGGCTTTCCTTTTCAATCCTATGAAAATGTCGAGAAAAGAGATTACAGTCAAATTGTTTCTAAAAGAAAATTAGAAACAGCACTATTGTACTATTGTAATCTATATGGACCTTCAAAGTGTGTGGTAAAAATAATATATTACGTATTTATTTCAAATCTCAACTCCCTTGTAATCTTAAGGGGAATTTTCAAAAAAATGTTTTTATAGAGCAATCTGATTTTTCTATCTCAACTGGTTGAGCATGAATATTAATAAAACAAGAATATCTTTAGGAAAATAATAATGCATATATTCACTAAGTAACTTTTATTTTGGCTTATACTATAGACATATTTTATCTCATCTCCATTTTCAAAGAATAAACTGTCAAATGGGGTACTCAGAAAATTTCAAACTTTCTTATTCTACTTTCTTATGAATGCAACAAGACAAATATTGCCTAAAGCGGTGACTTGCAACCATGATTTGCAAAACTCCTATGTTTTCTCAAGGAGAGGTCCTACATTCTAAAATAATATCTATGATTTATTTTAAAATTAAAGTCAGTGTACAATTGAAAATTTTGATCACTAAAATGCTGTCATTACATCAAACATTTAACAAAAAAAAGGGTGTTTCTCCTATAAAATTTCAACAACTCTAGTACTGTCAACTTTAAATAAAACAATAAAGTTCTTTTGATGTAATTCTGCCATGTGGAGAGAGATTGGCATTGGTCTGCCATTCCATTTTGTTTTCAAGGATGATTCACTAAATATAGCCCCCTGAACATGTAAGGCCTCGAAATTTCACCTCTAAAGCAATTTATATGTATACATATATATGTTGTTATTACATTGTACTCATGGAGTATAATATAATGCAATAAAATACGGATTGCATGAAACCATCTAGAAAATAAGGTGTCTTTAAAATACTGTGATATCACTTATATCATCTCTCTGTTCTTTCAACTTCTATTGCTCTCTTTACCTCTTTGCTTTTATCCTTGTATATTATGTCTTGTAGTTTTTGGATGTGTATAGTTTTCCTCATTTTGAATATAAGTCCTTTTGTGTA